GCCAAGCATGGTAGGGCATGCCTGTGATCTCAGCTACTCATTCCAGCTACTTGGGAAGCAGAGACAGGAGGATTAAGGTTCAAGTCCATCTGGAGCAAAAGTTAGGAAGACCTTATCTCAAAAACAGCTGTTCATAGTACTGTACACCTGAAATCCCAGCTTCTCAGGAGGCAGAGGTAGGAGGATCATGGTCTGAGGCCAGCTTTAATAAAAGTGTGAAACCTTATCTGAAAACCAAACTAACAAAGTAGAAGGGGCTGGCAGAGTAACTCAAGTGGTACAGGCCCTGAGTTCAAATACCAGTGCTGCCAAAAAAAGAAAAGAAAAAGGACTTGGGGGCATGGCTCAAGTGGTAGAGCACTTGCCTAGCAAGTGCAAGACACTGAATTCAGTCCCTATTACTATTAAAAAACAAAATCATTGACATGCAAATCCTAGAACTATATGGAACTTTTAAGAGGTTAGTTAACTTAACTCACTGTTCATTGGTTATTGCAATCCCAATTTTATAGATGGAAATAGCTAAGGTTAGGGAAGTTAACCAATATACCCAATGTCATGTGGGTAATTAATATCAGAACAGGGATTGGATTGTGCAGTGTCCCTTCTACCACATGACACTATCTTTAGGATATTACAATAACTGCTTATTGTTTAGAAACAACTAGCCACAGACTTGTATATCTTTGAAATCTAAGGAAATTAGAAAAAGTTGAAAATATATCAACAGCTGTAGTCTCAGACATGAAAGCTCTCTATCTTCTCACACTTTGTATTTAACCAAATGAAAAATACCAAGGCAGTGGAGTGAAGAAGTATGTTAGAATGGAAGAAATTTGTATTAAAATTCTGGAGTTAGAAGCGTGTGGATTTGGGAATGTTGTTTTTGTTATTCTTAGCATGTAAATTAAATAGTCATCTGAACAGTAACACACACATACACACAGAGAGAGTAAACCAGAAAGGAGAGACAAAAGGCCAAATAAACCAGCATAAAATTTAAAAAAGTAATAATAATAACCTTTGAGCCATGTATGTTGGTGCATATCTGCAATCCCAGCATTCCAGACCCTAAATCAGAAGGATCTCTAGTTTGAGGCCAGCCTGGGCTACATAATGATACCTTGTCTCAAAAAATAAAACAAAACAAAGTAACCTTACCAACTGTGTATAAGACTCTTGATCCTTTTTGTTCCTTATCATTGCATAATTGGTTTTCATGTTGTTTTAGTGACTCTCTACTCCTTTTTGTGGTCTTTATTTTTTGTTTGTTTGTTTAGTTTTTGTTGCATAGACCTACATATGTATCTTCCTAGTTCATGTAGTTACCCTTTTGTGAGAATATTGTATTTCTGGGAATATTATATTTCACTATGCTATTTAATCATTCCTCAGTAATCAGATTCTTTTCTAACTTAATAGAAAAGCTCTAAGCATATTGGCAGAAATGTTTTGTGTTTTGTTTTTTTCTTTGGGCTGTATTACTGAAATGGCATTATCACAGTGAGATGATGTAGTATATTAAATGTTCTTTTTACATATTTTCAGCTTGTTCTTAAAGATTATACTATTTTATAACACCACAAATAGTCTAAGCACATAATCCTGAACATTTTATCATTTTCATTTATTTGTGTTAATTTACCAGATGTAAAGTATTACCACTCCTTCCTTTTCTTTTTTGCTAATTATAAAACTAATACATAATTTTTGTACAAAAATTGGAAATACAGAAATTGTAGAGAAATCCTTACCCCTGGAGGTAAGTGTCCCTTCTATGTGTATTATTTTATATAAATAAACTCTTTTTTTTCTAATGGAGTCCCTGGAGAAGAAAATTTTTATCACTTAATATTTTGAGAAAGTAAGGGTAGATTTTTATCTCTATGTCAGGATCCCTATGCATAGTTCAGCAAAATTTCATTTTTCCCTAAAAGCCACCCTTTCTCCATCCTTGACTTTGGAAGGATAAGAGAGTCTGAAGGAAGGTCAACGATGGAAGGTTCAAGGAAGTGGCTGAGTAAGGTAAAGGATTCTCCATAAATGCTGAGAATCAGCTTTAAAGAGAATTTTTCCTGAAAATAGGGGTAAAGAAGATAGAAAATCCTGCGTTATTAGTTATTAAGAACCTCATTTTATTTTATGTTTTAAAAAATTCCAGGAAAAAAACCACAAAACTCTACAAACTACTAGCTGAAAGTTCCAAGTTTTTGCCCTCTTATTACTGTATGTTGGTACATTTGATTTATGGATTCACAGAAAATATTTAAAGGACATTCACACTAATGAGGGTTACAGTCAGCTGACAGGAAGGAAGACTTGTGGGGTGGGGAAAGGCCAAGCCTTAGGAAATTCCAGAAAGTCTTAAAATGTCTTGTTTCTCTCTTTCCTTGGCAGAGTTTGAAAATTAAGGCCCTCTCAAGTTTCTAAGTAAAAAGGGCTCAAATGAGATACAAGACTGTTACAGAGGAGTATTTGTGTGTGTGCACACATAGGCATGCACACACACACTTTTTTGTTTTGGCTTTTTTTTTTTTTTTTTTAACTTCCTTAAGAAATATTGGAGGAAACACCTTCTTCCTGTATCTCAGATTACCATTTGTAAAATGTAGATCATGAATTAAATCTTAAATGCATTTGAGATCTTGTTATTTGTGGTGTTTGAGGTAGAAAGGTATTGAAAATAATACCCAGTGTTTCTCCTAGGATCTCATGAAAACGTCAAAATGTATTTCTCCTCAGAACCAGTCAGTATAATTGTGATTTCCAGAGACACTCTTCCTGACTATTTTTTCCCTACAACCTGATGGTTTTGTTCATTCTTTTTTTTGTGTATGTGTGTGTGGAGGCAATGTAGCTCAGGCTGGCTTTGAACTCCCAATCTTCCTGCCTCAGCCTCTCAAGTGCTGGGATTACAGTTATGTACCATCCCGCCCAGCTTATTCACTTTTTTTTTAGTACTTGAAAGAAAATAATTAACAGTATTGATACCCTTATATATTAGAAGGTCTTTTAAAAATTATTTTTAAGATCCTTATGTAACGCAGGTTTTTGTTTGTGTTTTGCTTTTTTTGAGGGGGAGAAGTGAAACAAGGTCTTGCTGTGTAGCCTATACTAATCTTGAACTCTCTGCCCTCCTGCCTCAGCCTCCCAAATTCTGAGATTACTAGTGTGTACTACCACACCCTGCTAGCAAACATGGGAAATTTTATGCATCTAAAACAAAAGAAAGTCTCTGCCCAGGCAGGTATATGTTCTGGTTCTACATGTGTTTGCTTTCACTAACACCAGTGCAGGAACTTCCCATAAGACAGATGTGGAACTAGAACTAAGCAAAACTGAACTCTCTGCAGGTTACAACATGTAACACATATTCTTGGAATTGTACTTGAATTTTACCTTTGACAGGATGTAAATATCTCTGTTAAGAATGCAGAGTCCATTCTTTTTAGTATAAAATAAAGTATAATTTCCAGGCTTTCTCCCTTTTCTGAGTCCTAAATATTCTAATTTAGGTAAGTTTTTCTAAGTGATTATATTGCAGCAACATTTGGAATCTAATTTGTTTAAATGATCACTATGTCCATCAGCTTTCTGTTACTGTACCAAATACCTGAGATAATCAATTTATAAAGAGAAATGTTTATTTTGGTCCACAGTCTTGGAGAAAGGGAGAAAGAAAGAGAAAGAGAGCGAGAGAGTCACTTTTGAGAGTGCACCCCTAATGACCTAAAACCTCCCACTAGGCCCCACCTCTCAAAGGTTGCACCTCCCAGCAGCACCAAGCTGGGGACTAAGACTTTAACACATGGGCCTTTAGGGTACAGTATGTTGAAAACAAAACAAAAAAATATGGATGGAAGTTGTCCTGTCAAACCTGGATTTTCGCTTTGGCAATGATTTTCCTTTTCAGATGGGGGTCTGTGCCCCAGAGCATGTTGAGCCAAATGAGTCATATGGATGTAGCTGATGTTAGTGCAACTGACCTGAGTATGATGTGGCAGAGTTAGAGTTGATACGACTTACTTTTCATTAAAAATAGATCCAATTACTAGTATACTAGTAAAGCTGCCTGGAGATAGATTGTATTAAATACATGCTGAATTGGTAAGAAACTATTCTCATTGTTTGCAAAGGATTCTTAATACTTTGCTCTGATTTCTGAAGTGGCACATTTTCTGTCATGGGGGGGTGGTTAAAAAAAAAACTTGTAAAAGTGATAGTTCACCTCCTTGATCTTTACTGTTGATTGTTCCATTGGACTTAAAGATTTAATAACTTTTACTAATGTTGAATTCAAAAGGGTGTTAGGGATATAACTCAGTAGGAGGCCCTGGGTTCAATCTCCAGCAAAAGAAAGAAAGAAAGAAAGAGTGTTTCACTGTCCTGTCAGACATCTTTCCTACTTCAGTTATTTGGAAATAGAGATTTGAGTGATAGGATTTGTTTGAAGGCTATTATAACAAACTGAATAAATGTGATATACTTACTTCCTGTGTATTAGGGAATATTCTGTAACATTAATTGGTTTCTTCTTAAGTTACATTTCTAGTCCTAAAAATTATAATTTGCAACTTTAATTAGAGATGTACTCAAGATATGAAAGATAAAACGTAGGGACTTCCAGGAATTACAAAATACTTTATTCAAAAAATCTGTAGCAGTTGGCTGTGATGGCACACACCTATAATCACAGCACCCAGAAGATCAAGGCAGGAGGATCACAAGTGTGAGGCCAGCTTGGGCTACAGAATGAGATCCTATTTTGGAAAAAAGAAATCTTTGCATGAGGGCTGGGGTGGTGTAGCTCACTGGTAGAGTGCTTGTCTAGTATGTACAAGACTCTGGGTTCAATCCCCAGCACGGCAAGGAAAAAAAAATCTATGGAACGTGAAAACAAAGATAACATCTCATATTTTCTGGATTTTATTAATAAGTGATTTGAACATTACATCAGTTTTTCCCGTCTTCTATACAAAGCTTATTTGTTTTCTAAACAGATTCTTTGGGCCCAAAGCCGAAATTCAGGTGGAAGGAGGATCTCTGAAAACAGCTATTCTCTGGATGACTTGGAAATAGGACCAGGTAAGTGAAGAGTTCATATGTGTGAAGTCCTTTAGGAAATACTCATAGTAGTCATACCTTTTGGACTCAAAGCCAGTGCTTTTTAAAAAAGGAAGTCTCCCTAGCAGGTACAAGCCATCCCAAATCTCATTGCTCTCTATAAATAGCACTTTTTTTTTTTTTTAAATCCATCCTTCACAGTAATAATCTGTGGTAACCAAAGGATATGTTTAAGGGATTATAAGTGAAGTACTGTGGACCCTTTTGACTCCACAGTTACTTGGGGCTTGAGGGCTTCAAGGATGGGCTGTATCTTTAACAAGATTGGTTATCATAGGGCTGGAGATGGCTTAATAGAATGCATTCTTAGCCTGCAACAAGGCTCTTAGTTTGATCCCAGCAAAAACACACACACACACACACACACACACACACGGATTGGTTAGTTTGTATTACTGTGGTAATATAATACCTTGAGAGTTTGGGGAAGGGAGCATATATAAGCACCTCACAAAAGAAAAAACTAATAAGCACAAGAAAATCACCAGCCTTCTGGTAATCAAAGAAATGCAAATTAGGGCATGAGGTCAAGCAGTACAGCACCTGTGTAGCAATCATGAAACCCTAAATTCAAACCCCAGTATTGCCCAAAAAATGCAGATTAAAACAACTTTATCTCATTTTTCCCTCATATTAAATAAACCTAAATTTAAATATACATAATATTCAATTATGGTAAAGATTCTCTTTTTAATGTTAGGAAAGTGAGTGAATATTACCTTATAAAAGGCAATTATATTCCCGATTTCCTATTTGTACTTTTCTCTCTTTTTTGGCAGTACTGGGATGGTTTTTGTTTTTGTTTTTTGGTGGGATTGGGGTTTGAACTCAGGGCCTCACACTTGCTAGGCAGGTGCTCTTACCACTTGAGCCACTTCTCCGGCTTTCCTATTTACACTTTTAATAAAAGAAATTAGGGCTGGCAGAGTGGCTCAAATGGTAAAAACATCTGCCTAACAAGTGTGAGACTCTGAGTTCAAACACTAGTGCCACCAAAAAAAAAAAAAAAAAAAAAACAGAGAGAAAAAAAGAAATAGACATTAGATTGCAATAACACAAAATTTAAAATTTCAAACCATTGGAATGTCATATTTTGTCTTCTAACAAAGCATGTTATTTGTTTGCATGCTTCCAGGTCAGTTGTCGTCCTCTGCATTCAACTCAGAGAAAAATGAGAGTAAGCGAAATCTGGAATTCCCACGCCTGTCAGAAACTTCCATAAAGGATCGAATGGCCAAGTACCAGGCAGCTGTGTCCAAACAAAGTAGTTCAACCAACTATACAGTATGTGTTCTGCTTCATTCCTTCCTTCACTCCTCCACCAGTGGTCATTAAATCCTGGAACTAGGAAATGTCTTCTGGGCCCTGACCCTTTCCCTGGTCCCTTAGCTGATCTCTCCACACATAAATCTTACCCTCACCTTCATTTATAATCCTTATCCTCTTCTAATCTCAGTTTTTCTCTTCTAGCTTATTCACATTCATACCCTACTCTTTTTTTTTTTTTTTTTTTGTAATGTTACTAGTCAGTAATGTCATTAAGAGTTTTCTTGGCTCATCTACTTAACCTTTTCATTGTTGTTAAAGAAGTAATATTAGTTCTAGCAGAAATACTTATTTTTAGTTTGTTTTTGTTTGTTTGTGACAGGGTCTTTACTATGTAGCCTAGGCTGGTCTCAAACTCTACCTCCTGCCTCCCCATCCAGAGTTTAGGATCACAAACTTAAAGGTGTGGGCCCCCACCCCAGTCTTGTTTTTATTTTTGTTTTTGTGGTGCTCAGTATTGAACCCAGGGCCTCTCAAATGCCAGACAAGCACTCTATCACTGAGCTATAGCCTCAGTCCCTTACTTTGATTTTTGAGGAAAGTATTAGAAATAGCAGATGCAGTCAACATTAGTGTGGAGTTAGGATTTGTTTTTTCTTTTTGTAGAACTGGGGTTTGAACTCAGGACTTCGTGCTTGTAAATCAGGTACTCTATCATTTGAACCACACCTTCATTTCATTTTGGTCTGGTTATTTTGGAGATAGAGTCTGGAGAACTACTTTCCCAGGCTGGCCTCAAACCACAGTCCTCCCAATCTCAGCTTCCCAAGTAGCTAGGATTACAGGCATGAGCCACTGGCACCTGGCTAATGCATGAAAATCACCATTTTAAAGTACATACTTAAGTGATTTTTTTTTAGTATGGCCACAAGGTTGTACAGCCATCACTACAGTCTTAATTCCAGAACAATTCTGTCATCAAAAGAAACCTCATACTTGTGTAGTTACTCCCACCCCACTCCCACCCTCACTAACTTACTTTCTGTCTCTATGGATCTGCCTATTCAGGGCATTTCATAAAAAGAAACTGTACAAGGTTCAGGGTTGTTGCTCAGTGGTACAGAATTTGCCTAGCATGCATGAGGCCCTGGGTCCAATTCCTGGTATGGCAAAAATGAATAAATTAATAAATACACACATGTATTTATAATCTACTTAATCTTTAACCCTTATGATGTAATAGTTTCCTACATAGGTAAATACTGAATTCAAAAAGGGAGAAATGAAAGGGCTGGGGCATGGCTCGAGTGGTAGAGCACATGCCTAGCAAGTCCAAGGCCCTGAGTTCAAACCCAATACGGGGGAGAAATGATAGGAAGATTACATACTTAGTAAATACAAAAACTTTTTTTTTTTTTTTTTGGTGTCTAAGAATCAAACCCAGGGTTCAAACATGCTGGGCAAGCACTACCACTGAGCCACATCCCCAGGTTGAAAATTCAGTACTCTAAATAGAATGACGGTGGGCTGATGGAGTAGCTTAAGTCATAGAGTGCTGGACTGTATGTGGGAGGCCCTGGGTTCAAACCCCAGTACCATCAAAAAAAAAAAAAAGTTTAAATAGAATGAAGGGAAGCCTTCATTGTAAGATAATTGAAATTACCTTTTAGATACTATTTATTTGTGCTGGAGGCATAGCTCAAGTGGTACACTGCACTTGCCCAGCAAATATAAGGCCCTGGGTTCAATCCCAAGTACCACACACACACAAAAAAAGTATTCATATGTATGCACATGTATATACACTTAAATTTTTCTTTTTTTCTAATTTAAGGACACTTTTTTCTTTGGGGCAGTACCGGGGTTTGATATTCAGGCTTCACACTTGATAGGCAGGCACTATACCTCTTCAGCTACACCACCAGCCCTAGGACTTTTTTTTTTTTTTTTTAAGGGCACACATTTTTCTTTTAAATACTGTTCTGTGATTTCAGATTACAAGATCTATTGCTGTCTTTTTAACAAGGTTGGGAGAATAATAATTTTATTTGTTCTTTAGGCAGATTGAAACTGTGCATACTAGTAATCATAATCCCTATTCTGGAAATTAAGTCTTCTTTTCCCCCAAATAATTAATATGCATTCTGCAGTAGTAGTAGATTTTTCACAGTAGTTTTAATAAGAGATGTTGGGTTTAAATCAATAGTAAAGAGGAACTTCCCAAACTCGTTATTCAGAGTGAGTGTGAAAAATGAGCAAAAGTGGATTTCCCTTAGAAGGTGGATCAGGAGTTACAGCAAACAGGTGATTCCTCTTCCCTCCCATACAGGAGGTGGCTGCTTCTCAGTGTCCTTCTGCTGCAAACATTCCATTCCCTTCAGGTGACTCACTAAGTGGGAAAACTTGTTCAGTGACTTTTTTTTTTTTTTTTAAACTCTTAACAGAGTTTCTGTATTGCAGTTCTCCTGTTCTGGAGATTTTAAGAGTTGAAAAGTCTTTAGGAATTCTTGTAAAAAATACATTTTATCTCATCCCCAAAGAATTTCTCAGGCCGCTAACAGAACATGGTTGTAACAAGGCAGAAATTCTCTGGCAGTGGCTCAAGAGAGGGGGTTTTAAGATGAATTGGGAATAAACTGATGGGCTGTCATGGTGTATTCACTGTCAGTTCCTTCTCATAGAGCAGTGAGCTCTAATCTGGAATACCAGACCTGAGTACATTAGTCATACTCACTTCCCCTGAATTAGCCCCGTGGCCAAAGATTGCTTGTTTCCTGCCATGCCTAAAGAATCACAAAATAGAAGGGTACTGGATCACTAAACTACTAGCAGACTAAAGATAGGAAATGTCCATATTCGTTCTACCTCTCTGTTGATTTTAGAACTAGTAAATAAGTTAATATTTTGGTCCTGAGTGTCCTTTGCAAGGAAAAAAGTGTGATTATACTTATTCCTTATGACAGTCTAATGCATGCTTTTTTATGTTGAGGCTGTGTTATGAGAGGTAGAGTAAGGTATGTGTTTGGTATATGAATTTTATACGACAAACACCCTTTTGAAAGTCCCACAGAAAAAGGTTGTTTTATGGTATCATTAAGTATAATTTCGGTTTTTGTATGTATACATCATCCCTGTCTCTCTTTCCAGGCCGGGCATTTATATATATATGGTCAGTATATTTTCTTCATTATTGGCACTTGGCATCTCCTTTCCCCTGCTCCAGAATGGTCTTTTCTGATAAAGCTCACAAGCTTTGCATTTCCACAAGCTCTGCTGCTAGAAGAGTGAATCACAAGAATATTGTGTGCTGGGGGGTGGTCAGTGTGTGTGTCTCTGTGTTGATGTGTCTGTACTCTAATAAGTTTGAGACTAGCATACAAACATTTAACTCTGAGGTATGTGTCCACACAGCTGCTTTTGTCATTTCACTAGTCAATGGGTTGTGCTTGTGAGAGTTTGGGGGTTGATTTCAACTGAGGCCTCTGAGAAGAATTTTTTTTTTTTTTTAATATTTATGTGAAAGATGTGTTGTGAAGAGAATGGAATGATAAGAATTTTTTTTAAAAATTCACAGGTTATTTTTATTTTGTAGCATGAGTTGAAAACCAGTGGCGGTGAAATCAAAACTCATAAATTGGAGCAAAAAGAGAATGTGCCTCCAGGTCCCGAGGCCTGCATCTCTCATCAAGAGGGAGAAAAGGTTGGTTGAAAAGTTTGATGTCCAGTTACCAAGGAAGCATGTGTTCTAAATTAGATGCTTAAAATTAGAAACAACTCTAACTCTAGGCTGTAGAGTGTCTGGAAATTTGGTAACAGCTGCCAGGACAGATTGTCATTTTTACAGGTCACATAATTTCGGTTGGAGAGCTCTGCAACTTATAGCTGACCAAATAATGAGCCTTCAGTGGAAAATTCTTTTGCTCAGCAAATGCTCAGAGGGCATAGAGCTAAAGTAAATTTTAAAAATCTGTTTGATTAGAGATGTTATCTTTAAAATACTTGCATACTCTTAAGTATATGCTTAGTGCATTTTTGTAAGATTTTTCTTTTCTTTTTGTTTGTTTGTTCTGTTTTATTTTGTCTTGTTTTGAAGCTGGGTCTCATTATATTGCCCAGAATGGTCTGAAACTTGTATATTCAAGCCATCCTCTTGCCTCAGCATCCCAGAGAACCTGGACTATGTGTGCATGACACAGCTTTAGCTTATTTTATGTATCTTATGCAAGAAAATCTTATTCTTTCACTCAAAGTTTTGTTTGTTTTTGTTTTTTGGCCATGATAGAGATCAAACCCAGGGCCTTGCGTGTGCTAGGCAAGCCCTCTACATTGAGTTATATCTCTAACCCTCACTCAAAGTATTTTGAAAGCTAGGCACTATGCTAAACATAGGAAAGGCTATGCCATCATGCCTATAATCCCAGCACTCAGAAGGCAGAAGCAGGAAGATCTTAAGTTTGAGGCCAACGTGAGCTATATAATGAGTTGGAGGTCAGTCTGGGCTACATAGTGTATATAGTGAGATTCTGTATCAAAAAAAGAAAAGAAAAAGAAACTAATGACAGTATGGTCTTCATGTTAGCAGAGAAACTGAACAGGTTAGCTACCTAACAGTTTGGTTGTCATAAAACAGTGTGATAGGTGCTGAGAGGGGTGTTCAAGATCATGAAAGCTCAGACTAAGGACACTTAATCTGACTTACTCTACAAGGTGATGTCTGAGCCAAATTTTGAATAAATGTGCAGAATTAGACCAGATGAATAAGGGAAAGATTGTAAGAAAAAGAAGGACATGCAACCAAAAGATAACAGAGTTTTTGGAAGCCAGAGATTGTGGCTTGTTTAGGGATTGCAGTTTGTTGTTTGGCTGGAGCATTGGTGAGAGACAGGTGGAGAAGAGGTGGAGAAGATCTGGAAAAGTTTAACTCCAACCCTTAAGGGTCTAGATGTAGTCAGGTAACAATAGAAAGCCAAAGCAAGATTTTAAGCAAATCATATTTGTGTTTTATGCATTAGATGGCTTAGTTGCAGTAAGTAATAGTATTTATGCCGGATGAATTTGTTATGTTCTCTGGCAAACCATTGCTCAGTTTTATTAGTCTTTCTCATCAATATAATAATAAAATGTTAAGTGAGGTAAGGTGAAAAGGCTTTCAAATCTATAACAGGATTAATCTTAGGACAAAAGACATTGCTTCAGTTATACACATTGATACCTTTAGGTTTTGGGGTTTTTTGTTTGTTTGTTTTCATGCTGGAGGTTGAATTCAGGGCATCACACTTGGCTAGACATTCCACCAGCCCTTTCTGTGTTGGTTATTTTTGAGGTAGGGTCTCATTTTTTATGCCCATGTCAGCCTGGACCTCGATCCTCCTATTTGTGCTTCCCTGCGTAGCTGAGGTGACAGGTGTGTACCTCACTGTGCCCGGCCATTTGTTGAGATGGGGTCTTGTGAACTTTTTGCCCAGGTTAGGCTGGAACTATGATCCTCCTGATTTCTTCCTCCCAAGAAACTAGGATTACAGGTTTGAGCTACTGTACCCAACCATATTGACACTTTTGATGTCATTCTTCCAAACGTGAGTTCGTTAAAATAAGTTAAGAGCAACAGTTGTAGTGCTGAAAGCATGGCTCAAGCAATAGATTGCCTGTCTCACCAGAATGAAACCCTAAATTCAAACCCGGTACCACACACACACAAAAAGCAACAGTTCTAAAACTACCATAGACTATTTTTTTAAAGTATGGCATATTGACAGAACACTTATTAGAACTTGTGAGATATGTTATGCTCTTGGATCAAAATAGGCACCCAGAAAAATGATCTCAGATTAATGGCTACAAATTTTGATTCACAGCATAGAACAGAAAAGAAATTAGAAAAATTAAATCACTTTATTTTATAAAAACACAAACGTATGTTGAAGTAACAAGATATAATACTTGACAGTCTTATATTATATGGCCATAAAATCATCAAATAAATTACATATATCCTTATAACAGTGGGCTGAGGTATTGGTCTAGAGGTCACATGTCTCCCCATATTTTAAATGAGAAATAAGTATATAAATAAGAATAATGAGTAAATAAGTTTTCCTTATGTTCTATAAAAAAGAAAATTTGAGAGAAAAATATTCCCAGCATTGGCATTGAAATCCCCCATCTTTACCCCAGGAGTATAGCTAGAATAATCATATGGAAATTAATGCTTGGGTTGTTCTTATATCTAATTCATGCTTCCTTCTTGATTGTCTTTTTTTTTTTTCTTTTTTCTTTTTTGTTCTTTTTTTTTTTTTTCTTCTTGATTGTCAATGCCAATTTGAAACTGGAACTCTGGGGCTGAACTGGGGGATCAGAACATTTTAATTATAGCGTGAAAGGGCATGCGTTGCAACTGAATCATAAATTGGGGAGTGGGTGGGGAAGAAAGGGGATAAAGATAGTATGTTCTTCCAGCACATAGCACAGGTTTGACTGCCTTAAAATTTGCAAGAATTTTCAGTGCCTCAGCTGTCCTCTTGCTGGCTGCTTGCTGAACTTTTGTTAACTAGTACCTAAGCACTATTTGAATTTTGGTTTGTTACAAAAGCGCATTTATGCTAGAGTAAACTTTTTTTTTCTTTTTTCTTTTTATTATTGTTGTGCTGGGAGTACATTGACATTTACAAAGTTCTTACCATACATCATAGTTGAATTCACCTCTTCCATCATTCTCCCAGAGTAAACTTTCTTGAAATGAAATATTTTATCAAGGTATTGTTCTTCTCTTTCTCCTCCTGTGAATGAATGAATTTGTGCTTTCCTTTTTGTTGTTTTTGGTTTTTTGAATCAGTGCCTCAAAATGTAGCCTGAGGCTGGCCTAGAACTCCCTGTCTAGCCCAGTCTAGCCTCGAAGTCAGGATCCTTCTGTTTCTGTCTCATATGCTGGGATTATAGAGTACACCACACTTGACCATGAATTTGTGCTTTTTTTTTTTTTTTTTTTAATGAAATGTTTGAGCCCAATCTCATGTGTTTCTGCCTGGAAGTTCCTATAGTGAAGTCATCTGGTTGGCCATGTGTAATGATGTCATGATTGGCCTTAAGCATACCCCACAGGTTCAAGGTGACCAAATTAGAGGTGAGAGAAGAACATCAAGGAATGGATGCACTTACTAAATTAACAAGAGTTGAAGGATTTTTTTATAGCCAAACATAACTTTCTGAAAATTTATTTCATATCATTAAATGAAATAATACATGTAAGGTGATCAGTCCAACACCTGGCACATAGTAAAAACTCAGTAAATATTGACTGTTATTATTTTAGTTTATTTTATGCCATGTTAGAGTTCCTGTAATAAAAAAAAGAGTAGAAAAAATGACACTGATGTTCGGGTGCAGTCAGCTAGCAACTTGATCTCCCTTGTTAATTTATTTGCTACATTAAACATTTTGATGTAAGGACTCAGTATTGCCCATAAAATCCAACATCTAAATGAAATAATATTACCAGAAGAGTGTACATTGGGTCATCTGATGACCCTTCAGTGGTTTTGGATATGGAGGGGATACCAGGAAGGCCTAGGGGCCAGTAGGAATGGGGAGAGAAGCTAATAAAAAGTTCTTTCATTTAAATTTGATGACTTCTGGGGAAAAGGTATGGACCTACACATGAGATCTGACATGCTCTAAAACACTGTCATTTTGAACTTGAGATGTGGCTTAGTTGTGGAGTGCTTGCCTAGCATCATGCACAAGGCCCTGGGTTCAATCCCCAGCACACACCTCCACACTTTAGCAATCAAAATGTCATTTCAGCAGAATGTATTTGATGGGAAATGGGAAGTAGGAAAATAAAAGAAAAAAGATAGTTTCTGTATTTAAATACTTTATTTTAGCTTAGAGTATCTTAAGTTATATAGTGAGGTGCTTTGCTCTCCTTAACATAGGAGTTTTTATTTTATTTTGTTTTTTAACAGTAGAACAATATGGTTTGGAAGTTCTTTTATAAAGGGAGATGATGCATACTTTTGGCAGTTGAGTGCAGTCTGTTTCTTGCGTTACTTTGTAATTGAGAGGCATGTTAATATCCTCATAAAAGACATTTTGCTGCCTCTTGTTTAAATGCTCAGCTGTTCCTCTGCCCGTTATTTCCTCCAGGCAACCAGTGACTGACTAGAGTCAGCAGGTTTTTATGGCATTAGCAGCAATTTGCTCTTTTATTTTTAATGTGATCTCTAATCCCCTCTACCCCTCTCTTTTAGGTTTCTGCAGCTGAGAATAGCCCAGCAGTCCCATCCATCCCTGCTGAAGATGACTCCCGTAAGTATTTGCTCTTAGCTCTGCAGGCAGAGGTCCTTGTTCTCTACCCTGTTTGGTTCAGAGATATCTCTATTATTATCAGTGTTGAAAAAGTAACATAGAAATACCCCACAATTCAGCTGATCACATCTTCCACTTGATTTTAAGGACTGGTGCTTGAATACCCTTCACACATTTCATGGCTTAGGGAGAAGTTAAATTCAATTAAATATGGTTTAACTTGGGACAAATGGAATACTTTTGGTACTTCCCTTATTGAACTTATCCTAAAGCCTTTTATACTCAATCCTTTCAGGTTTAAAGCTGTATAAACTAATTTTGAAGTTTTATTTTAATAGAGTTTTGTCCAAGAAGGATTTCATTCATTTACAGGGATAAAAAAGTATTATTTGTAAATCTGTTAAGGTTCTAGAGGGCTTCCTGCTGTTGATAAATTTTGTCATCATTTCATCCTATTTTGAAGTAATTTTAAGCCTGACTTCTCCCAAAGACAAAACTATTTGGTTTTTATTTTACTATGTCCACTTTTGATTCTAATTTTCAGTGTATCATTTCAAAATAGATATGGATTTCTAGCTTCTCTTCAAACAAATGAGTTTACTAGGCACTTGAAACTCTGTAACTAAAAGTAGAAGTATGAGCTAAACAGATCTCTACTAAGCCCTACCTACTATTTCAGAAACTAACTCTTACTGCTTGATTCCAAGAACATTCCTTTCACAATGATTTTGCTTAGACTAGAAATTTTTTTGGTTTTGACTAGGTTTGCAAAATTTTTGTTTTTAAAGAATAAGCCTTAATCTTTTGATACTTTGGTCTTTGTTACCTTAACTCTACTTTTTTTTTTTTTAAATTAAGATACTGGGGTTTGAATTTAAAGACCTTGCACTTGCTAGACAGGTGCTGTACCACTTGAGCCACTCTCCCAGCACAACTCTAGGTCTTTAAGGAAGATTTTTTTTTTAATGATTCCTTAGTAGTTGTGTGAATGGCTTTTCTGTGTCTCTTCTGAGTTACATGAAATGAATACAACGGCAGAAAATCGGCTTATGTGGTTGGTACATTCAACAATGATGTAAAAACAAAAAACCCTATAGAACCCTTTTCCTCAGTCTTCATCCATGAGTATCTGGTGTAAGACTGATCAAAGACAGTGTAAGATTATACACATAACACATGCATGAACACATGGTATGAGATGTCTGCCTTTATGTTTCCTCCATTTTCCCAACTTCAGTTGAAGCACTCCAGAAGTTATTGGGAATGCCACCTACCAAAAAAACATCAAAGTCTGTAATTGGCTTTAAGAAATAAATGCTTCAGGGCAGAAATTTCTTTATGCATGGTGGTTTGGATTCCCTCTGTGTGATGTAGGGTGAGAAAGCCTCCTGACAACCTGACTCATGAGAGGACCTGAGAAAATCTAAAGATCACAGCTTCAGTTTAAAACATTCTTCCTCAGAAAAGCAAAGCTTTTCTTTGTGTTGAAAGGACCTGTCCTTGGTGAAAAGTGCCTATACTTTGCTTTTTGGAAGAACCCTTTCTGAAACTTCCTGTGATATACTATAAAATGTCATCCTTTTGTAACTCAAGCAGGTAACTCCCAGGTTAAGAGTGAGGCCCAGCAGCCTGTGGCCCCCAAGCCACTAAGTCCAGATGTCAGAGCCTCCAGCCTTCCTGAAAGTTCTCCTCCCAAAGCATTGAAGGTATGATGGCCATTTATCTCTGTGCTTAAGATGGTGGTTTTCTAGTAGAGCTAATTGCATTTTTTATCATTATGTTCATTATAACGTATTTTTGCTCTCTTTGGGATGATAATGTCAAATAAGGGTACATTGAAGAATCATTTTCCCTGGAAATCTTTCTTCTACCCAACTATTTGGGCCAGGAAGGGGAAAGCTAACTAATATCGCTCAGTGTGAAATCTAGAACAAACAAAAATTTTAAGAAAACTTGAAATTAAATAATAAAATAATATGGCTGGAGAAAATCTAAGTTCATAACTCTGTCAATGGGTGAAAGCCCACTAAATGGGAAATATGAGAAATCTGCTGAACTAAATCAGTACATTGGATGAAAATATACAAAGTCACCTTAAATATAGTGGCCCTGTGGTCTGAAGAACTTGTCCATAGCCTCTGACCATAGCCATTTTTAAAGAAAGGATGTGTTCACTGAAATGTGGATTGGCCAGCTCATTTTCTGTAAAAATTGGCATTTAAGCAACACTTAGGCTAGAGAATAATTAGATGTTAAGAATTATACAGAGTTTTTTTGTATGTTAAGAAAATTTTACTAGATTGGTTAATTTTTTATTTCCTTTTAGTTCCCCATCCCTATTTTTAAAACCTTCCTATGAGCAATCATATATTCCCATAGAAGTAAACCAAAAAAGATTTTAAATTTTTTCCAAAATTTATTTTAGACTTGTTAAGTGACTAGTCTTAATTGAATGCTTTTCTGATACAGTGATACTTCACCTATTTGGATTAATAACAAACATACTCACACTTCTTTAGTGTCTTTCTCCTGGAGTGTGGTCTCTTACATAGATGAATTTTGTTTCAAAAGTTTTAGCTTGAGAGTAACTCAAGGGCTAGTGGTATGACTCAAGTGGTAGAGTGCCTGCAGCTTGAGGCCCTGAGTTCAAATACCAGTACCACCAGAGAGAGAGAGAGAGTGAGAGAGAGAAATATTCAAAAGGTAGAATTAGTTTAAAGGTGGTTTGTGTTGCCCCAACTTCATGCACACATCTGCCACACACTTATATCTCTCCTCTGTGTGCATGAGTAGGGCTTAGATTAAATTTTTTAATACACATAAAGGATGAAGAGAAGAAGAAGAGGTGAGGGTTTGGAATAAAAGGAGGAAATGGGAGAAAGGAGGATTTAAAGGAGGGGAGAGGAATGATGATGGTAAATTTTAAAGGAAGCAGAGACTTATAAGGATAATAAGGTTTATTGAAAAAGAACAAAAACTGAAGGGAATAGCAAAAGAAGATAGAACTGAGGGACTGGAGATGTAGCTTAGTGGTACAGTACGTGCTTAGCAGTTGTAAAACCCTAGGTTCCATCCCCAGCACCAAAAAAATAAAGGAGAAAAGAAAGAACTGGGTTATGGTGTTTAAAATTGCACGTTCAGTCTGACTCTGTTCTGACCTTGAAGATCTGTTCATGCTGTCATCAGCACTTTATTTTCCCATTTCAAGTTCCACAAAGTAGCCAATGCCACATGGTTGCTTTCCTCTTCAACAGCAACCCTGCCCAGATGTGAATCCTTGAGCTGTGGCTCTGGATCAAGAATGGCTAGAGGGGCTGGGAATGTAGCTTAGTGGTTAGAGCATTTGCCTAATGTGTGAGGCCCTGGGTTCAATTCCTAAAGTAGCACAAAATTTATTAATTAGTTAATTAATTAAAAGACCAGAAAACCCATGCATGTAATCCCAGGAAGCTAAGCTAGGACAATCATGAATTCAAGGCCAGCCTGGGCTACATAGTGAGACCCTGTCTCAAAACAAAACAAAACAAACAAACAAAAAGACTAGCAAATAAGACTAGCAAATCTGTCTTGGTAATAGATTCTGTGTGGGCAAAGACACCTCCAAAAAGGAGAACTATAGGCCAATCTCCTTAATGAACATTGATGCAAAAATCCTCAACAAAATAATGGCAAATCGAATTCAGCAACACATCAAAAAGATTATTCACCACAACCAGGTAGGCTTCATCCCAGGGATGCAGGGGTGGTTCAACATACGAAAATCAATAAACGTAATAAACCACATTAACAGAAGCAAAGACAAAAACCACTTGATCATCTCAATAGATGCAGAAAAAGCCTTTGATAAGATCCAACATCATTTCATGATAAAAGCTCTAAGAAAACTAGGAATAGAAGGAAAGTTCCTCAACATTATAAAAGCTATATATGACAAACCTACAGCCAGCATTATACTTAACGGAGAAAAATTAAAACCATTCCCTCTAAAATCAGGAACCAGACAAGGATGCCCACTATCTCCACTCCTGTTCAACATAGTACTGGAATTCCTAGCCAGAGCAATTAGGCAAGAAGAAGGAATGAAAGGAATACAAATAGGTAAAGAAACTGTCAAAATATCCCTATTTGCAGACGACATGATCCTATACCTTAAAGACCCAAAAAACTCTACTCAGAAGCTTCTAGACATCATCAATAGCTATAGCAAAGTAGCAGGATATAAAATCAACATAGAAAAATCATTAGCATTTCTATACACTAACAATGAGCAAACGGAAAAAGAATGTATGAAAACAATTCCATTTACAATAGCCTCAAAAAAATCAAATACCTAGGTGTAAACCTAACAAAAAGATGTGAAAGACCTCTACAAGGAAAACTATACACTTCTGAAGAAAGAGATTGAGGAAGACTATAGAAAGTGGAGAGATCTCCCATGCTCATGGATTGGTAGAATCAACATAGTAAAAATGTCGATACTCCCAAAAGTAATCTACATGTTTAATGCAATTCCCATCAAAATTCCAATGACATTCATTAAAGAGATTGAAAATCTACTGTAAATTTATATGGAAACACAAGAGGCCACGAATAGCCAAGGCAATACTCAGTCAAAAGAACAATGCAGGAGGTATCACAATACCTGACTTCAAACTATATTACAAAGCAATAACAATAAAAACAGCATGGTACTGGCACAAAAACAGACATGAAGACCAGTGGAACAGAATAGAGGACCAGATATGAAGCCACACAACTATAACAACTTATCTTTGACAAAAGGAGCTAAAAATATACGATGGAGAAATAGCAGCCTCTTCAACAAAAACTGCTGGGAAAACTGGTTAGCAGTCTGCAAAAAACTGAAACTAGATCCATGTATATCACCCTATACCAAGATTAAACTCAAAATGGATCAAGGATCTTAATATCAGACCCCAACACTTAAGTTGATACAAAAGAGTAGGAAATACTCTGGAGTTAGTAGGTATAGGTAAGAACTTTCTCAATGAAACCCCAGCAGCACAGCAACTAAGAGATAGCATAGATAAATGGGACTCATAAAACTAAAAAGCTTCTGTTCATCAAAAGAAATGCTCTCTAAACTGAAGAGAACACCCACAGAGTGGGAGAAAATATTTGCCAATATACATCAGACAAAGGACTGATAACCAGAATATACAGGGAACTTAAAAACTAAATTCTCCCAAAACTAATGAACCAATAAAGAAATGGGCAGTGAACTAAACAGAACTTTCTCAAAAGAAGAAATTCAAATGGCCAGAAAACACATGAAAAAATGCTCACCATCTCTAGCAATAAAGGAAATGCAAATTAAAACCACGCTAAGATTCCACCTCACCCCTGTTAGAATAGCCATCATCAGCAACACCACCAACAACAGGTGTTGGCGAGGATGCGGGGAAAAAGGAACCCTCTTACACTGTTGGTGGGAATGTAGACTAGTACAACCACTCTGGAAAAAAATTTGGAGGCTACTTAAAAAGCTGGACATCGATCTACCATTTGATCCAGCAATACCACTCTTGGGGATATACCCAAAAGACTGTTACTCCAGAGGCACCTGCACATCCATGTTTATTGCGGCACTATTCACAATAGCCAAGTTATGGAAACAGCCAAGATGCCCCAGCACTGACGAATGGATTAAGAAAATGTGGTATCTATACACAATGGAATTTTATGCAGCCATGAAGAAGAACGAAATGTTATCATTCGCTGGTAAATGGATGGAATTGGAGAACATCATTCTGAGTGAGGTTAGCCTGGCTCAAAAGACCAAAAATCGTATGTTCTCCCTCATATGTGGACATTAGATCAAGGGCAAACACAACAAGGGGATTGGACTATGAGCACATGATAAAAGCGAGAGCACACAAGGGAGGGGTGAGGATAGGTAAGACACCTAAAAAACTAGCTAGCATTCGTTGCCCTTAATGCAGAGAAACTAAAGCAGATACCTTAAAGCAACTGAGGCCAATAGGAAAAGGGGACCAGGAACTAGAGAAAAGGTTAGATCAAAAAGAATTAACCTAGAAGGTAACACCCACGCACAGGAAATCAATGTGAGTCAATGCCCTGTATAGCTATCCTTATCTCAACCAGCAAAACCCCTTGTTCCTTCCTATTATTGCTTATACTCTCTCTACAACAAAATTAGAATAAGGGCAAAATAGTTTCTGCTGGTATCGAGGGGGGGAGGGGGGGGAGTGGGTGGTAAGGGAGGGGTTGGGGGCAGGGGGGAGAAATGAACCAAGCCTTGTATGCACATATGAATAATAAAAGAAAAATGAAAAAAAAAATAGATTCTGTGTGAATTCTCAAGAATATTTGAATTCTGAACTTAGCCTTGGCTTCCCTCCTTCACCTTCTAGGCCAGACATTATTGTTGGATTAGGCTGACTGTACTAGGTTGAAATCACTTCAGACTCCAGGGTCTGAGGTGATACGTGCTATGTGAAGGGACACACATTGCAGGGTATGCCAGGGAGAGGAGACAGGTTGAGTTCTCTCTATACCTGTCTCAGACCCTCCTGCTTCTTTGGCCCTGATCATTCAGCAGGTGAATGCGCACAGCCATGCCTTCACAGACACATACCTCAGGGTTCAAACATTGTGTGCAGAGTGGGGTAAATTGGCCCAGCTCCCTGTGTTTGCCTGTAGTCCAAAGCTCAAAAGGTCATGG